GATATGATTAAAAAACATTTTTTAATATATTTTCCTTGCAATAAAATCATTTTCAACCCCGCGAAAACCCTAAAACCCTTCAAACAACCTCTAAATTGCAAAAAAAACACTTAAAAATAAATTTCGGTATGATATAATAAGAATTACGTATAATGTAAACAATATTTTATGTTTTCTATCTTGATTATCAAATTTTTAACCCTTTTAGACCCTTAAAAATAACCCCTTGATGAAAAATTGTTTAAAAAAATATTTTGAAATTAAAAGAAAATTAAGAAATCCAAAATGATATGAATGTTATTTCAATTTCTCGAAAATAATTACCATATCCATAATTTGTTCAACTCTTAAAACTACCCTTAAATAAAAACAGTTAATATAACACTGGTACCCAGTATAATTTTATCTAAACTCGTATATTTGTTGTTCTTTTAAGTGCAATTATTAACTTCCCGTAGAGTAAGTTATTGTAATGGGCCGAAAATCGAAATTGAAAATTTTTACATTTCTCGACGTTTTGAAGGTTTCTAATCATTTTGGCATACCTCAGAAAAAATGGATGTGTGTGTGTATATGTATATATGGATACAAATTTCCAGTCACGTTTACGGGCGCACGGATCAACCGATTCGAATGGTTCAGAAAGCATTCGATTCCTATTGATAGGGAGATGAGCTGATTAGTTTTTGGCAAAGGCAGGTCCAGCAGTTACGGAGATAAAGAGCAAAAAGTGCAGAAAATAGAAATCGAGTTTTTGAGAGAACAGAGCATCCGATTTGAATGATCTAAAAAACATTCAATTAGTAATGATTGGGAGAAGTGTTTATCAGTTTTTACGGAGCTAAATGTGTAAAAAATTGCAGTTTTTGAGAGAACTAAGCGTCCGATTTAAATGATTCAAAGAACTTTCTGCTTGTCTTAACAAAATAATTGATTTTGGAAAATCAATTGGTGTATGGCATCGTGCCTAAAGGCAAATTGCTGGAACTTCCCGTACCGTAACGAAATGTTCGAGGAATACTGAATATTTTGAAGTAGATCATTATTAATATTGTAACATTGTCTAATATTTATAAGAATTATATAAACTGAATTGCAAAGTTGAAATTATTTGTTTAAAGTATATTAGAACTGTCAAAATTAAAAATGAAATCTGAATTATTTTCGATATACAAAAATTTTATTTTTGAAAAAAAAAATGAACTAGTTGGTTTGGTATTTAGCCTTGAGGCAAGTTACATGAACTTCCCGATATGTGTAAATAATCGGCTTAATCAAAACAAATGTGTAAATAATATACTTCATCAATCCTACTTTAAAAAAAACGATAATAATTTTAGCAAACTTTGACGAATTTGTAAAATTAAACTACTTGTCGTAAGGCCGTAATATTACAGTAAGTTCTATAAGACCATGATGTATATCGCCAAAAAAAGTTCCATGAAAATCGGCTTAAATTTTTTTTTCAACAGTTAATTACAAGAAAACGGCTCGGTAGATTTTCACCTAAAATTAATCAGTACCATTCCCAACTAATATCTTTCGAACAGTTTTTGATATTTTAAAATCGGTTCGGTAGGATGAGCTTAAATGTCGATGAAAATTTAACACTTTTTTTCAACAGTTAATTACAAGAAGACGGCTCGGTAGATTTTCACCTAAAATTAATCAGTACCATTCCCAACTAATCTCTTTCGAACAGTTTTTGATTTTTTAAAATCGGTTCGGTAGGATGAGCTTAAATGTCGACGAAAATTTAACACTTTTTTTCAACAGTTAATTACAAGAAAACGGCTCGGTAGATTTTCACCTAAAATTAATCAGTATTATTCCCAAGTAATATCTTTCGAACAGTTTTTGATTTTTGAAAATCGGTTCGGTAGGATGAGCTTAAATGTCGATGAAAATTTAACACTTTTTTTCAACAGTTAATTACAAGAAAACGGCTCGGTAGATTTTCACCTAAAATTAATCAGTACCATTCCCAACTAATATCTTTCGAACAGTTTTTGATTTTTTTAAATCGGTTCGGTAGGATGAGCTTAAATGTCGATGAAAATTTAACACTTTTTTTCAACAGTTAATTACAAGAAAACGGCTCGGTAGATTTTCACCTAAAATTAATCAGTATCATTCCCAACTAACATCTTTCAAACAGTTTTTGATTTTTTAAAATCGGTTCGGTAGGATGAGCTTAAATGTCGACGAAATTTAACACTTTTTTTCAACAGTTAATTAGAAAAAAACGGCTCGGTAGATTTTCACCTAAAATTAATCAGTACCATTCCCAACTAATATCTTTCGAACAGTTTTTGATTTTTTAAAATCGGTTCGGTAGGATGAGCTTAAATGTGGACGAAAAGTTTAACACTTTTTTTTCGAATTACAAAGAAATGGCTTGTCAGATCGTTGCACAAAACTGACAAACGATAGTCCTCAGCGAAATACATCAAATGGCTTTTAAATTTCTAAAATCGGTTCAGGCGTTTTTGAGAAAACATCGATCAAAAGTCTAAAGTGATGCAATGCTCAGGAGTATACGACCCAAATGGCGATATTTATAAATTGTTTTTGGATATGAAAGAACAATTGTAGTACTTTCGTAATTTTGGTAATAAATCTTAATATCTTTTGCAGAATCTTGTGTTTCGCTTTTCATATTTAGGAAAAAAATAGTGAACAAATTTTAATTGTGATTCCAAATGTTCAAAGGTAACAAGACAGCTGTTTTCATGTAAATGCTTTCTTCACTATTCACCATGCAAATAATATAGCATGCAAAATAATGCAGATTTAAAAATTGTATTTTTTCAGTAAACATCGTTTTTTTATGAATCTAATGTTAGCCCTGAGAAATTTTCTTTCACTAAAGTGTCTATTCTACTACAGTTATAAATATTTTATTTTCGCTTTTGAGAAACAAAACGCAAATCAAATTATGATAATTTTTTTTGAAAGTACGTATGTGCGCGAACAATTACACAGGTCCAGAATAGAGAAGGATAATAATTAATAGCTGAAAAATGTTTAATCCATTAAGAAAAAAATCTAGATTGAAGATTGTGCCAGTTGTTAAATGTTTTTTTCCATATTTTGTGTCCCAATTTTGACTATATATTTATTACATTTGAAAGCACATGTCACACACCCAATTAAGACAATTTTTTTTGTGGACTTGTATTAATTTCAACCATGAAATTCATAAAAAAATAGCACATATCAAAACTGAGTAAATATCAAATTTGCATACGTGTTGCTACTTTTCGTATTAAAAAATATAAAATAAAGAACAAAATTAAAAAAAAAACGGCTGATATTGATCAGCTTATATAAAAAGCAGTGCCAAATTTCTTATTAAAGTTTTCAAGTAAATTAGTTTTTCTGTTCAACTATTTGTTTTTATTTTGTAGTAATATTTATAAACACTTATACACTCGTAATTATATAAAATAATATTTTTTTAATTTTGAATTTTTGTTCTTGTGGCAATTTTCTAATTTTTTTGCAATTACATTCCCGCTCTCAGTCAATAAATCTTTTGACTTAATTTTAGTTCAGACTTTTGAGTTTATAAAAAAGCTTCAATTTCATTCAAAAAGAAAAAGCAATTTATTTTGTTCTTTATTTTAATTTTTTTAATGCGGAATGGTAAACTACATACAACTCCAAATTTTCATCATTATATATTAGTCATTTAAGTAGTCCAATCAGTTTTTACATAGCTAGGTGATCGATGAATTTACTTTTATCGCCATTTTTGTGAACATTTTTAATTGAAATTCGATCAAAATTTTCTGAGTTTATAAAAAATCCTAAATTTATCTGTCAGCTGCAACATTTTAAAAACAATTCTTAGATATTGGCAACTAAAGGGTTAATTCCAATAAAAATAACTGATTTGTAGACTTATCCTATTGTACTTGTCTTGCAAAAGGAGCAATTTTAGCGAAAAAAATTAAAATTTAATATTATATATGAAGATAAAACTGTTTTTGAGAGAAAACTGAATTTTTTCAGAGTTATTGAAACCTCACTCGTTTCGCTAAGCATAGCGTAATATAATTCAAATATGGATGTTAGTATTTCAGCATTTCAGTAGGTAAATCATCAATGTAATTTGTGTTAGCTGCCCCTCATTTATATACCACATAATTATACATTCAGAATTAGTTAGTCATTTCTTTTACTAATGATTTTCTAAAAATATTTCCTGTGGCTAAACGTTTGCCGGGTCAGCTAGTATATATATATATATATATATATATATATATATATATATAATTACGTGCGACCCGCCATAAAATTTTAAAATTTAAATTGGCCCGCGGGTTAAAAAGGTTGCTCGCCCTTGATCTAGAAGACTATGGTATCTATCGTCAAAAAAATAATGATAAAAATCGTCGAATTTTTTTTTTTTAAAACTTTATTACAAGAAAACGGCCCGGCCGATCTCTACCAAAAACTAATCAGCACGATTCCCAACCAATATCTTTCGAACGGTTTTTGAATTTTCAAAATCGATTCAGAATTGCGGGCTAAAACGTAGACGAAAAATTTTTCACTTTTCTGCCATTTATAAAGAAACGGCTTAGCCGATCGTCGCACAAAACTGACAAACAATAGTTCTCGTCGAGATACATCGAATAGCTTTTAAATTTTTGAAATCGACCCAGCCGTTTTCGAGAAAACGTCGATTTACGGCAAAAAATCTGTTCACATACACACACACACACACACACACACACACATACTTTTTCCAAATTTGGTCTCATTCGATTCAGAATGGCTTGAAACGTCGAGAAAACATAAAATTAGAGAATCGGATTTTTTTATGAAAACATAAACTTCTCCTTCGGGAAGTTAAAAAAAAAGTTGAAACAATTTTTTTTTTTCCAAAATCAATTATTTTGTTAAGACAAGCAGAAAAAAATTCAGACCCTAAACGTTCTGTTTACTGCACTAATAAGAATGAAACATGAGAATTATTAGAATAACTTTACCTGCAGTTTAGACGATAAGATTTGAACATCTTCATGATCCGTAATTTTAAATGCTGTCTTAATTACTTTACAATATACAAGAATATTAATTAGAACTCCTTGGCTGTAAATAAGAAGAATTTGTGGTTAAATCATACATTCACTTGGAATTGATGAAAAAATCGTACACTTCTAACTTACAAAAATGAAAAAAAAACCACAGCTTTAATGCAAAGAAACTTTCCTAAAGGTTTCATTGGCCTGAGTTCTTCTCTATTGGCTCTATAGAATAAAACCAAACAATACATAGCAACAAATTGAGAAATATTGTTGGTAATAACCATGTACGGAAAAGCAACCGAAAATCTAAAATCGCCTTCTCCATATACTCCAAAGATATGGCTAATTCTTCGAAAAACAAGCATTTGTTAATATATAATACATATACAAAATTATAGAGTTATAATATAATTAAATACTTACACAGATATGAAAGTAGTCAAAGGACGTACAACAGTATACTGAAGAATCCCATGTTTGCACATGTGAACTAATTCGCTGAAAAATAAATTGTAAATTATAATAGTTGTGAATTTTATAAAATGCTTAAGTGTTTCATATAAAATATCTATCAATAACAAAAAAATTTTTTTTGGTATTTATTAAAAAATAATTTTTAAAATTTGAAATCATGAACAGTTAGAAATGTTGACAAAATGTTATATAAAAACACGAGATTTTACAACTATCAAGAATGTACCGAGAAAATGATTAGTATATCTTAATTGCTTAATTAATCTCTTTATCCCGATAATACCTTATTGTTCAAAACATATTACAATCTTACTACATTGCCGCAACGTCTTTAGCCGACTAAGGTACAATATCAGAATATATTCAACATTCCATATATATATATATATATATATATATATATATATATATATATATTATATCTTATATATAAAATTCTTCTGTAGTGATAAATGAGAGCGCACGCCTTAGGGGGCGACAACACAAGATTCGGATATGAAATTTTCAATTAAGTTTTGTTTTTTCAATATAATTCAAGAAATATTTAATTTCTTTGCATCTTTTATTAATCTTTGCATAATATTTTTTAAAATACGTTAAAAATTTCACTTTAAAACAACAAATGGGATAGTAAAAATAAATACATACAATGCGGCCCTAACTATATCAATTAAGAAAAGTTTGAGATGCAATTTTGGATATCTTAGAAAATAAAATAAAAAAAATCCAACATGAAGTACCAGTGTTATGTTATAGCTATGTTTATTAATGAAAGGCTAGAATTTTTTCGCACTGATAAATAATTTGCTCAATAGAATAATCGCATCAAATGACCAAAATAAATAAGTAAAATGTTTCAAAAGCCACATATTAATTAACTTCCCGAAGGAGAAGTTTATGTTTTCATCAAAAAATCCGAATTGCTAATTTTATGTTTTCTCGACTTTTAAAGCCATTCTGAATCGAATGAGACCAAATTTGGAAAAAGTATGTGTGTGTGTGAACAGATTTTTTGCCGTAAATCGACGTTTTCTCAAAAACGGCTGGACCGATTTCAAAAATTTAAAAGCCATTCGATTTATCTCGATGAGGACTAGCGTTTCTAACTTTTGTACGACGATCGGCCAAGCCGTTTCTTTGTAGATCGCAGAGAAGTGAATAATTTTTTGTCCACGTTTTAGGCCGCAATTCTGAATCGATTTTGAAAATTCAAAAACTGTTCGAAACATATTGGTTGGAAATCGACCTGCTTAGTTTTTGGTGAAGATCGGCCGGGCCGTTTTCTTGTAATAGAGTGTTAAAAAAAATTTTTCAACGATTTTCATAAAAAAATTTTTTGACGGTAGATACCATAGTCTTATAGATCATACTAAAATATTACGGTCCTATGACAAATAGTTTAATTTTAAAAAAATCGTCAAAGTTTGCAAAAATTAGCGTCATTTTTTTGACGTTTGTCAAAATTGGAACTTTCATCGACGTTAGCTCAAAAACGTTTGAACCGATTGCATAAATTTGAAAGCCAATCGATGTATTTTAATGTGGATTATCTTTTCTCAATTTTGTGCAGCGCTCGGCCGAGCCGTTTCTTTGAAATTTAAAAAGAAGTGTTAAACTTTTCGTCCACATTTAAGCTCATACTGCCGAATCGATTTTAAAAAATCAAAAACTGTGCGAAAGATATTATTTGGGAACGGTACTGATTGGTTTTACGTGAAAATCTACCAAGCAGTTTTCTTGTAATCAACTGTTGAAAAAAAAATTGAAGCCGATTTTTATGGAACTTCTTTTTGGCGATATGTATCATGGTCTTATAGAACTTACTGAAATATTACGGCCTTACGACAAGTAGTTTAATTTTAAAAATTCATCAAAATTTGAGAAAATGAGTAGTTTTTTGATGTTTGTTAAAATTAAAATTAGATGATCTACTTGGTATAACAATAGAGTACTTGGTCTTAATCAACATACTAAACCATTAAAGTCCTGCGGAAACTGGTTCAAATATAAAAAATGTTGATTTTTGAAAATTTGCTTTTAGAAAATAATTCGAGTTAACATGTTCGTTCGTTTTTAATTATGGGTAATAAATCGACTCGGAATACTTTTAATCACTCAATGAATTGATTTATTTTTTATTGATTGAGTAGATTTTTTAAACATATCGGGAAGTTCATGTAACTCGCCTCAAGGCTAAATACCAAAACAACTAGTTTATTTAATAAATGATAATAATTTTAATAATAAACTGTTAATACAGGTAAAAACATAGGAGGGGATAGGCGCTAGAAAAAATGACATGCGGGCGTTAAAGGCCCATGGAGCGTCCCTGGAGATAATGTATATTAAATTATTACCAAGAAAAATGTAATTTAGATGTTATAACTAAATTTGATGTTGAAATGTTTGATTAATGTCTTGGAGGGCGTAACATCATGTAAAAAATAAACTAGTAGTGCATGGCATCGTGCCTCAAAGCAAATTGCTGTTCGAGTTCGAGTTACGGAAATTGAGGAATTTACGAGTTGAGGAATATTAAATGTTTAAAATATTGTGTAATATTCATTTATAACCAATTCGATTGTAACAACCGAGCGATTCACATCGAATAAATAATCGTAAATAATTATATAATGTCTTCCGTGTCGGATGGTCAGTGCGGCCGGCCGCCCTACCCAAACCTTTCTACCTGCTGCTCTGCGATTTGAGAATCAAGAAACACTTGTTTAAATAGATCTAGTGACATGGATTTTTGTGATACTGAAAGTGTAATTCGTGTAGAAAATGAATCAGTTAGTAGTTGTGATTCGAATATCAAGAATAGTGTTAATGTTAGTTATAAATATAATATCAACGATGTAAGTATATATAGCAATAAAAGGAAAACATTAGAACAAATGGAAAACAAAGGGAAAACAGTAATTTAGCGTCAAATAATAGTGATACAACAATGGAAATAAAATATCTAATGAGTGATGACAACAATATAAACGATCAACATAAATCAGATGAAAGAATTGACAGGAATAATGCCAATATAGTTAATCCATTAAATAATTTGATACGTTTTGAAGGTTGCGATATAGGCCCTTATACAATATTTGTCAAACCCAAGGACAGAAATGTAGGCCGACTGAACCCGATGGCCTTGGGAAAAATCATACATAATGCAGGGGCATATTTCAAATTTGGTTTGACAAAAGTTTCGGTTATAGGAAAAAATTAAGTGAAGATGGAGTTTAAAAGCGCCAAGGTAGCGAACAAAATTCTAGACGACAGAATTTTAGAAAAAAACTAGTTGGTTTGGTATTTAGCCTTGAGGCAAGTTACATGAACTTCCCGATATGTGTAAATAATCGGCTTAATCAAAACAAATGTGTAAATAATATACTTCATCAATCCTACTTTAAAAAAAACGATAATAATTTTAGCAAACTTTGACGAATTTGTAAAATTAAACTACTTGTCGTAAGGCCGTAATATTACAGTAAGTTCTATAAGACCATGATGTATATCGCCAAAAAAAGTTCCATGAAAATCGGCTTAAATTTTTTTTTCAACAGTTAATTACAAGAAAACGGCTCGGTAGATTTTCACTTAAAATTAATCAGTACCATTCCCAACTAATATCTTTCGAACAGTTTTTGATATTTCAAAATCGGTTCGGTAGGATGAGCTTAAATGTCGATGAAAATTTAACACTTTTTTTCAACAGTTAATTACAAGAAGACGGCTCGGTAGATTTTCACCTAAAATTAATCAGTACCATTCCCAACTAATCTCTTTCGAACAGTTTTTGATTTTTTTAAATCGGTTCGGTAGGATGAGCTTAAATGTCGACGAAAATTTAACACTTTTTTTCAACAGTTAATTACAAGAAAACGGCTCGGTAGATTTTCACCTAAAATTAATCAGTATTATTCCCAAGTAATATCTTTCGAACAGTTTTTGATTTTTTAAAATCGGTTCGGTAGGATGAGCTTAAATGTCGATGAAAATTTAACACTTTTTTCAACAGTTAATTACAAGAAAACGGCTCGGTAGATTTTCACCTAAAATTAATCAGTACCATTCCCAACTAATATCTTTCGAACAGTTTTTGATTTTTTAAAATCGGTTCGGTAGGATGAGCTTAAATGTCGATGAAAATTTAACACTTTTTTTCAACAGTTAATTACAAGAAAACGGCTCGGTAGATTTTCACCTAAAATTAATCAGTATCATTCCCAACTAATATCTTTCGAACAGTTTTTGATTTTTTAAAATCGGTTCGGTAGGATGAGCTTAAATGTCGACGAAAATTTAACACTTTTTTTCAACAGTTAATTAGAAAAAAACGGCTCGGTAGATTTTCACCTAAAATTAATCAGTACCATTCCCAACTAATATCTTTCGAACAGTTTTTGATTTTTTAAAATCGGTTCGGTAGGATGAGCTTAAATGTGGACGAAAAGTTTAACACTTTTTTTTCGAATTACAAAGAAATGGCTTGTCAGATCGTTGCACAAAACTGACAAACGATAGTCCTCAGCGAAATACATCAAATGGCTTTTAAATTTCTAAAATCGGTTCAGGCGTTTTTGAGAAAACATCGATCAAAAGTCTAATTTTGACAAATGCCAAAAAGACCATACTGATTTTTGCAAACTTTGACGAATTTTTAAAGCTGAACCAGCTGTCGTAGGACCGTAATATTTTAGTATGATCTAGAAGACTATGGTATCTATCGTCAAAAAAATAATCATAAAAATCGTCGAATTTTTTTTTTTGTAAACTTTATTACAAGAAAACGGCCCGGCCGATCTCTACCAAAAACTAATCAGCACGATTCCCAACCAATATCTTTCGAACGGTTTTTGAATTTTCAAAATTGATTCAGAATTGCGGGCTAAAACGTAGACGAAAAATTTTTCACTTTTCTGCCATTTATAAAGAAACGGCTTAGCCGATCGTCGCACAAAACTGACAAACAATAGTTCTCGTCGAGATACATCGAATGGCTTTTAAATTTTTGAAATCGACCC